CGTGTTCCCAGCTGGAAGCGCGCTTCCTCGGAGATCCCGTACTGCTCCAGGGGGTCCTGCAGCAAGAACACAGGGAAGATGTCGATAAGGGGGGAGGCCAGGACTGTCCCTCAACCAGACTGCAGCCTGGGGCCAATTCCAGGCAGGTGCTGGATTCACCCCCAGCTGCTGTTTCTGGTGCAGGAGGTCCAGCAGCCCTCGGGCACGGCGGACAGCCGAGGTTCACGGGCTGCATTCGGTCCACACTGGCACTGGAGTGCGTGGGTGAGCCGCAGCCACCTCTGCCGCCTCCAGCAGGGATGCTCCAAGGAGCCTGGCAGAGGGGTGAGCAGCATCTCAACACACGTACGCTCTGATCTTGCCAGGGATGGCTGTGAACTCTTCCAGAGAACCGGTGGGAGTCTGGGCTAGCTCAGGCCAGACCTGTCTCCAGGCACAAACCTCAGGCCACTCTGCCACTGGAAGAGGGCACACAGGAGAGCCAGAGCTGAGCACAACGCAGGCTGCTCGGCAGAGGAAGAATCACAGAATCAAGGAATGGTTTGGGTTGGAAGGGACCTCAAAGATCATCCAGTTCCAACCCCCCTGCCACGGGCAGGGACACCCTCCACTACACCAGGTTGCTCAAAGCCCCATCCAACCTGGCCTTGAACACTGCCAGGGATGGAGCAGCCACAGCTTCTCTGGGCAACCTGCTCCAGTGCCTCACCACCCTCAGAGGGAAGAATTTCTTCCTTATATCTAATCAAATTCTCCCCTCTTTCAGTTTAAAGCCATTGCCCCGTGTCCTGTCACTACATGCCCTTGTCCAAAGTCCCTCTCCAGCTTTCCTGTAGGCCCTTTAAGTATTGGAAAGCTGCAATAAGATCACCCTGGAGCCACCTTTTCTCCAGGCTGAACAGCCCCAACTTTCTCAGCCTGTCTCCAGAGCAGAGATGCTCCAGCCCTCGCATCATCTCCGTGGCCTCCTCTGGACCCGCTCAAACCAAAAACTAAGACTCTCAGGTCCAGCTGTGGACACCACAGCTTCAGGAACTGGCTTACTACAGGATCTCTGTCACCCACATGGCAGCAAACAGCCTCATGCAGGACAGTCGGCAGCAACACCTGAGGTCACCAGCCCCTGCCCAAGTCCAAACCCATCAGTCACCACCTGGCAGGCCGACTTCCTGGGACTCACCTTCCCTGTCATTTTCTGGATCTCGTTCCGGTAGAAAATCAAGCTCCTCCTCATAAACTCATAGCTGTAAGACAGGAACAGACCATGCAGCAGGCTGAGCAGAAAAGGATGTGGAGAAGTTTCGGATGCTATTTAGAGCTGACGGAAGCTTGCTCGGGAGGAGATAACTGCTTCCTCCCGGGGTTCACCACAAGCTGATCCCAGAAAACAGCACAGAGCGCGCAACGCAGACCTGGCACGGGTGGCTCAGCCTACCTGGCTCGCTTGAGTGCCTCAATCCACTCCTGACACTGCTCCTCGCTGTCGCATTCGAAGCAGTATTTCCTCTCTGGCTCCTCCATGAAACCTGCCGGGGTAAGGAAAAGGCTTAACGGAGGTCCTGGCAGAGCTGCCTGCGCTCTCCTATCTCCCTCCCCAGACTCTGCCAGGCCACAGTTGGCATTTCTGTTCAACGATGACGAGCTGGGGACAAGCTGGTAACCCCCTCGGGCCCCTCTCCTGCTCTGGGTGGCTCCTGGCCGGCCTGGAGCAGCTGCCTACAGTGTCTGCCAGCTTATGGCAGCCAGAGACTTCAGAGAGGAAGGAACAGCTTCTCAAACTGAGCGCGACGGCTCCGAACTGAGCAGAACCAACACGGGCAGATCCAGGACTGAACCTCCCTGAGCCTCCTTGCAAACAGTCACCGGAGATTTAGTAATCCGAGTGGGAAATGGCCTGAGGAAGCGATGTGGATATCCGCAAAGGGCAGCCATCTGAGGAATTAAATCGCCCTTGGAGAAGGTGCTGACCTGTCTTTGCTCGAGGCTGGGAAACTGGTACTGTGCCCAGCGGGAAGCAAGTCCCCGTGCAGCCCCAGTTCTTCACCAAGACAGAATCAGGACAGCTAATTAATTACACTGGCCCCAGAGCTGTGCTCGTTAGCGCACGGCCCACAGAGATGTGGGCTGCTGCTGAGAAAGAACTGGGACGGACTGGTCCCCTCCGGGCTGCCATGCGGGGCACAACCCGACACGGCTGCTGGCCGTTTGAACACTTTTCTCAGGAATCCTCATTCCCAGAGCTCCCGACAGTCCTGAAGCCCCAGGAATTCAGAGTGTGGTGCTCAGAGAGGTCGGTGTGTTCAGGCTCTGTGAGGGCCCTTCGGAGACAGCGGGAACATCCCCTCTCCCCACCGAAAGGGGAGACAAGGCTCTGCACAGAAACGCAGCTGTACGACACCCAGGCCAAGAGATACGGGGATGGCCTTGGAGAAACATCCTGTTATTTTTGCCACATGCCTCTCCCACAAGGATGAGTTGTGGGATGGAAGGCCGAGCACCACGGGCCAGCTGGAGCCACAGCTATCGGCACAAGGACAAACAGCGTGGCGGGAGGACTGGTGCGAGACCAGTCCCACGGATGCCTTATCTGAGGCTCGCTTTTTTCCCGATAAAACGCAGCAGCACAGGAGCAGCGATCTGTCCGCACCAAACCCTCCCCGAGAGGGGCTTCCACAGGCATTAACCGTGCTCCGACCGGTGCTCCTGCGCCTCTGCCCCCATGCAGCTGTGCCAGTCGGACTGCTCCAGCCAGCGATGAAGTCCCGCTGTCCGCGGGACAGGGCACGGATGGGCCAGCGAACAGGGAACGTGTTTGTGGAACTCACTGATGGAGAAGACATTCTCCTCCTCCTTGGTGATCCGGCAGTGCTCCAGCAGCAGGGCTCCAATGGGCTGCAAAAGACCCGGAGAGAGGGTGTGAGCCACGTGGCAGTGGTCTGACCCGCAGAGTTGGCCGAGTTAAGGAGTTTCGTGGCCGGGTGCCACTTCTGAGGGAACTCCGTCCGACTGCACCAGCATTCCACGAGCTTTTCATGGAGCTTTTGCACCCACGGACACACTGCGCTGCTCCAGCCTGGGACACTTTGCACGTGTCAACGAGGGGTTAAACATTTCTGCCCGCTCACCTTCTGCCTGGGCTCTGGGAGGGAAGTGAACGTCCTTGTGCAGGGAATCAAAGACCAAAGATTTAACACGACGCACGGGACAG